ACATTCCAACCTTGCAAGAAGTGAAATCTTGGCTTTTCGCTATGAGGGGTCTAGGAGAGGCAGCCTATATTCTCGGGATAAGAATTTTGAGAGATAGAAAGAAAAGACTAATTGGACTTAGTCAAAGTACATACTTAGACAATGTACTAAAACAGTTTAGTATGGAAAATTCCAAGAAATGAGAGCTACTTATTCAGAGTAATGCCAAATTGAGTAAGACTCAAAGCTAAGTACAGGTGAAGAAATAGCTGATATGAGTCGAGTCCCTTATGCTTCGGTCGTAGGATCGATCATGTATGCTATGATATGTACTCGCCCTGATGTGTCCTTTTACTTAAGCATGGTCAATCGCTATTAGGAAAATCCTGGCAGAGCTCATTGGATAGCAGTCAAGAACATTCTCAAGTATATGAGAAGGACAAAGGATATGATTATAGTCTCTGGAGGTAGTGATACATTAATAGTAAATGGGTATAGTGACACCAGCTTTCAAACAGATAGAGACAACTTTCATTCTCAATCTGGTTGGGTACTCACATTAAATGGTAGGGCAGTTGCTTGGAAAAGTTCCAAACAAGGCACGTGGCTAATTCTACGTGCGAATCACAATACATAGCATCAAGTGAAGCATCAAAGGAAGCGACTTGGCTGAAGAATTTTATCGGATATCTTGGAGTAGTTCCAACCATTCATGATTCAATGGAACTTTTCGGCGATAATGAAGGTGTGGTTGCTTTGACTAAAGAACCGAGTGACCATGGCAAGTCAAGACATATCGACAGAAAGTATCATTACATCAGACATAGAGTGAAAAAATGTCACCTCATTGTAAAGAGGGTATCATCAGAAGAGAATCCTACGGATCCTTTGACGAAGGCTCTGAGTAGGGTTAAGCATAATCAACATGCTAGAAGCATTGGTTTGAGAGATGGTATTAGTTTTAGTGGTTAGATGATTAGTTTGAAACTTGTAACAAAATAAATGTAATTGTCTTTTAGTGATTAAATAATAGAGATTATTTATGAGTTTGTTTACTGCCTTTGTCAATTATTTATTCTTGTGTTTCGTTTTGCATGTTTTACTTCCCGAATAATTTAATTATTCAAATTCCACAGTCACTCATACTTTTGGAAATAAGTAGTGAATTAAGATTATCATGAATTGGATTGTAGATTGTCTAAGGAGTTTAGACATAACAGTTATGTTGCTACAACATTCATGAGTACTTTGAAATGAAGATTTAAGTATTGGATAAACCCACACTCAGAGAATTACTTCATGGATTATATAACGAGTAATTATGAGACGATAATATCTTATATTCTTAAAACGAAGATATATGAGCTATAATTTACAATTCGGTTGTGCATTGGTGTTGCGAAAACGCATCAATAACATGATGTTATAAAATGCAACGTCATGTATGATTTGGTGAGTAAAGGATGCAATCACATAAGTCAAAGTTTATCCGTTCCTTTTGCTCTAACTGGAAAAGCGATATCTTTGGGCCCCTCGGTGATTTGGTGTTAACTTATAGCACTGGGCCCATCCAGGACTCAGTTGATGTGTTCAATTTGAAGTCTTATGTCGTCATCACAAATCAGAAATCAGGAAACAAAATTTGGACAATGAGATTGATTCTAATCCATATCTCATTTCTATACGATATACTGAAGAACGGAGGAATATTTGATCATTTATCTTAGGGTCAACATCTAGTCAATTCAGAGTTCGACAGTTGCTACGGAAGCATTCTTTGTTGTCTAATTCAGAAGTTAAACTGGTAATTACAATTACCGACTTATCAAAGTGGGAGACTGTTGGATTAGGTGTCTAAGCCAATAACCGAATTAGTATATATTTGAATTATTATCAAAGTCCTTTTGGGTTGCCCTCAAACTTAGTAATTGAATAGGACGACTTTTAGAAAGAGAGACTGATTTATTGATTTATTATATGATTAATAGATAGCAATAAATGAATTTATTAATATGTTATGGAAATAATATATTAATTAGAAATAGTATTATTTAATTAATAATTAATCAAAAATTAATTAAAATTAATTTCAGGATTAATTGGATTGATTAAGAGTGCAAGGACCTAAGTTGAATTGTTCAATAGTTGAACAAGAGAGGGATTCTAGAATAATCCAATGTAGGTCGAAAATATGAGGCTTCCTTAGGGTTCTAGAATATGCCTTGAAGATAATTAGGAAACCAGATAATTACCTGATTTAAGATATTATTATTTTAATCTAGTAAGGCTTATCTAGGGTTTTCCTAACAACTATATATAAGGTATCATAACTTATAATTTTCGGCCAACCATTCATTCCTAGCTAAGAGCCATCCGAAAATCCCCTCTCTTCTCTTCAAGTATCCTAGTTACTAGGGTTAGGTGTGAACCATCAGAGACACAAGATTTTTGGTGCTAGTTTCTAAGAGTTTTTCAAGAAGGATTGTTTGATTGTTTACTACAACAATTAGAAGATATGTGATCTTCTATGAATTTTGAAATTAGCTAGGGTTATAGGGTTCTTGTTGTTCAATATAATGTTACTTAAATAGAGTTATGACTAGATCTACTAGGTTGCATGTACCCTTAAGTGTATAAGGATTTATCTGTGTTATTGCATGTTAAACCCATCACAAGCTAGTTCAAACATGGAGAAATATCACCACTGATCACATGCATGGGTCCACTACACACTCAAATTCCAGATATGAACCATATAACACTCATTGGACCTCAAGAATCCATAAAGTTTACAACTTTATGGAATCTCATAACTTCAACTTGCTCAAAATTGAAGATAAATGGACAAGGATTTAGATCTAGCGACCTAGAAGCATTAGGTTTGGATCTTGGACACTTACAAAGGTCCGTAGATGTCCAAAATGAAATCAAGCTTACCAAGATGATCACAACACTTCCAAGGCCTTCTTCCTTCAAAAGCAATTCAAAGCACCAAAATGAGCTAAAAAATTAAGGAGATAGATTAGGGTTTCTCAAGAGGGTTTTGGAGGTGATGGAGGTCGAGGGTGAAGGAAACCCTAGCCCCTCACTTCCTTTAAATAGGGTCCAAGTCTAAAAATTAGGGTTTGCCCCTGATCAGGTGTTACGTCGTGACCAACATAATGTCACATCGTGACACTTAAATGGTCATTCCCGTTTTATCGCGGTCATGTCACAACGTGACGGTGCTTCCCTCACGTCGTGACCCTCCCATAACTCTTATTTTACTTCAAATTATATACCTCAAGGATCCAGATGTTACATCGTTTATGCTGCAAACTTGCCATTTATTTTTCGATTTTGCCATTTTTATTTGTAATAGCAGATTTCCAGGTTACCATGAAATATTATTTACGAAAAAGCCCTTAACTTTACAAATATTTTGCAAAAAAACCCTTAAGATTAAAAACACACACACACACACACACACATATATATATATATATATATATATATATATATATATATTCAAAATTTGATAAAACTAAATAGTTTTTAAAAATTTAAATATTAAAATTTTATATCAAACCAATATAAATTTTAACGTACTTATATTATGAAACCAAAACCGACATAAAATCAAAAGTTTATATTAGCTCGATATAAACTTTTGATATCTAAAGTTTAAAAAATTATTTTGTTTTATCAAATTTTGAATATATTCCTTAATTAATACTTAAACTTTTCAAAGCAAAATTAAAAAAAAAAAACCGTCTGTTAGCTAATAATTAACTACGTTGCTACATATGCTACACTAGTTAAACATATGAATAATATGATATTAATTACATTCAATTCATTTTCTTTAAAAGGAAAATAAAAATATTTTATATGTTTAAAAGGTTTGCATTTCAGAAATAATAAGGTATCATATATATATATATATATATATATATATATATATATATATATATATATATATATATATATTTATAAAATAAATATATTTGTATAATAGCTTAGACAAATATATTTATATTTTATATGTTTAAAAGATTTATGTTTGTGTTTCAGAAACAATAACGTATACAACTATATTTATTTTTATAAAAAAAATATAATATATTATTATTCTTGAAACACAAACCTTTTAAATAGATAAAATATTTTTATTTTTCTTTAAAAAAATAATTGCATGGAAATAATACCACCACATAGTTACTATGATCATCTCCAAAGGTGCTATACGAGCCATGAATATATACAACGAATCCAAAAAACCACGTAAATCACGGATAAAAATAAGATTAGATAAGTCTATATCACACCAACAACTTATCTTGAGAAGAATTTGAGATGTCAAATCACACCCGATGAGCACATGTCAGATATTTTATGTAGGGTTGTTACAGATCGGGTATAAAGAACAAAGCATGTCATACCATAGCTAGACAAGTTTGTTTTGATAGAAAAATGGTCTAAGACAGTTCTCTATCGAAATATATTAACCTTATTAAGAATGATTTTATTCCATACGGTCTTTATAGGAAGCAATGTCACTCCGTGTTCATCAATACACATTTGAGAATCCTTAACAACATATTCCATACCATTATTTAGATTTATAATCTTAACGATTTTTTTGCAAAATATTTGTAAACTCAAGGGGTTTTTTGTGAATAATATTTCATGGTAATTTGAAAACCTGCTATTACAGGTAAAAATGGCAAAACCGAAAAAAATTGGCAAGTTTGCTGCAAAACAAACCAAAAATCCGTCGAAGGGTAAAACCGACATTTTCAACCAGACTTAAGGTTTTTTTGTGAAATTTATCCCTATAAATTAGACTCTTATCAAGCTCTCCCTCATTTTGCCCGGAGAAAATATCGAAGGCAATCGAGAAAAAAAGTATAGTCAAATCAGTCAAAGGGCATCTTGGTAAAATACAAAATCTTTGGTATTTAATATTTTAATTTACATTACCAGCATTAGTTTAATCTTTAAATACTTTAAAAATTCATCACCTTTTTCTCTCCCAAAATGTTCGAGTTTGAACTCTACGTTCATCCCGCTCTCTGATTATTCAATCTCCAGCTGTCCCCCTTTCTTAAAATCTTCATGTTTTTAAGCTATCAATCCTATCGAGCTGATTCACAAGCTCTGTAACACGATCTAATCATCTCTGTTAGTCATCCTCTCCCTCTACAACATAATTTCGTTCATTCGCATTGTGTTTTCATGTCCAATTTTATGCTTTTTGTTTTCGGATCAATTAGGGTTTTCAGATTTGCTTAAATTTTGAAATAAGAATGTGGGTTTATTGGGAATGAGACAACTTCTACCCATATATTCCTGATTTGGTGTTGTGAACATCTAATCAAGTGTACATTGCCAAATCTTGAGTGCTAATTGAATAAAAGATAAAAGAGATTGTCGGTTTTCTTCTTTACTTCCATATTTCGTAGATTTAACCACTAATGAAAGGCAAATTGATGTAAAAGATATCTTAGAGGGCATCTTGGTTCAAGATTTCCAAAATCCGATAGAACTGAATGAAATATTACTTCTGTTTTCAAATATAATGTAGCTTTAAGATTTGAATCACTGGACGCATGATTTCGTCTTAGATATTGATTCTTTCTTTCTGTTCATCGCTATTAGGGTTTTCCAAATTTGCTGTGTGAACCTTGATTCTTGAAAGGTCTTGATTTGGGTTTTCATCTACAAAAATTGGAAAATCCCTTTCATGGACTCATCTTTTTCTTTGAATTTATGTTGTCAATGTCCAAGTCTGAAGTACACAACACTCAAGTGCGTTTAAATTTGAAAATTTTGAATAGAAACATAACCAGTTTCAAAATTTAAACTAAATTGGCGAAAATAAACATGTTCTTTAAAGTTATTTCAGTCTTGTGTTTTCAAACATCTTGATGTTGATAGTTTTCCATATTGCTACAGATAAAGGGAAACCTTTTCAAATCAAAACCTTGAAATTGGTTTTCTCCAAAGAACATACAAATGAGAAAAGGAGCTAATATTGGAGAGCCCACTTTTCGTGTAACAAGAGCTCGTGCTGCTGCTTGCAAGCCATCTGTTGGTTCAGAAGTACCAAAAGGGCAGGGGCAAGATCGTCTTTTGCGTAAAAATCCTAAGAGATCAGTGCTAGATGAGAGAAACAACAACACTACTGCAGTTTCTAGTGCCCAAAACAAGAGGAGAGCTGTTCTTAAAGATGTCACAAACATTTGTTGTGATAATAATTCTTACAAAAACTGCATAATTCCAGCCAAGATTACGGTTTGTAAACATTTATCTACTCTCATATTGCTTTAATATATATCCACAACTCATGTCCTTTTTGTTTATCCTTTTTTTCCAATTGTGATCAGAAAACAACTACTAAGATCACCAAGAAAAATCCCATCAAACCTCAACAAGTTTCTGCTCAAATTCAATCTACTGCTGTTGACCACATAGTTGACTTGGACAAAAACGTAATTCACCAGAAGGGTACTCATATTGCTGAAAGGGAAAACACAAACCGAATTGGCAAACGAGTAGGTTCACAGTTGCAAAGCTTTTCAAAGAAAGGTTTGTTGTCATTAGTAATTACAAAGTCTCTATGTACCTAAACTTACACATTTTCAAGATTCTATCAAGAACTAAAAAAGAATTAAATTTTTTGCATGGGCAATGTATATTATTTTTTATTTATTTGTTACAAATTGCTATTGTTAAGGAATTTGTAAGTATGTTGCTATTTGTGTAGAAAAATGTAAGTTCATTGCTATAATTGGTTACATATTGCAATTTTTTTTTACATATATTATCCAGGGAGAAATAATATCCATGAGAAGATCATCATAGCTACCAAGGTTGACTTTACTGATATAGATTCTGATGAAAAAGACCCTTTAATGTGCAGCATGTATGCACATGAGATATATAACAATTTACGCGCATCAGAGGTTTGACATGTGGCATTTATCATAACACCTTTCTTATTCTAAACCCAAAACTAAAAAAAACTCATAAGTTTTTATTTATTTATTTATTTTTGCAGCTTATACATCGACCACATTCTAATTTCATGGAAACAATGCAACGAGATGTAACTCAAAGTATGAGGGGAGTCTTGGTTGATTGGCTTGTAGAGGTTAGTTTCAATGTTTCATTCATCCTAGTTGAACCCATATTTTGTTAAATTACGAATATGCCCTTGTGAATTTGTTTTAGGTAAGTGAGGAATATAAGTTGGTGCCTGACACATTGTATCTCACTGTCTATCTCATTGACTCGTTTCTTTCTCAACAATATATTGAAAGACAAAAACTTCAACTTCTAGGCATCACTTGTATGCTAATTGCCTCGTAAGTTCTCACACTTTTTTTATTTAGAATTTTTTTTTTCACTATAATTCTTATTATTCTTTATTTTGTTTGTTGTTTTAAGGAAATATGAAGAAATGTGTGCACCTAGTGTTGAGGAATTTTGTTTCATCACAGACAATACTTACACAAAATCAGAGGTTTGATTTCATTATAATTGTATCATGCATTTTGTATTTAACATATTTAAAAAACCGAGTACAAGATGATTTTATAAGTTATGCAGGTTGTGAACATGGAGGGTCAAGTTTTGAACGAATTAAATTTTCAATTTTCAGCACCCACAACAAAAACTTTTCTAAGGTATATGAAATCATTTTTTATTTAGTATATTCTTGTATAAAGATTGTAACTTTATGAATCTTTATTGTTTACAGGAGATTTTTAAGAGCAGCTCAAGCTTCTAACCAGGTACTATTTGTTTTCTTGTTACTTTGGAGAGATATTACAAAAAAACCATTAATCTTTTTAGCAATTTGACCACTAATAATACTTTTTTTTTTTTTTTTTTTTTTTTTCCAATCTTATTTATGTTAGAGCCCGAATTTTGAATTGGAGTTTTTGGCAAATTATCTAGCAGAGTTGACTTTGATTGACTATAATTTCTTGGTATTTGTTCCTTCAAATGTTGCTGCTTCGGTTGTGTTTCTTGCCAGATGGATGCTAGATCAATCGCGCCACCCTTGGGTTTGACTCTGTGTCCATGTGTCTTTTTTGTTAACTTTATAAAGGGCATAAATGGAATTTAACAAAAATTATTTTGAATTTTATGGCAGAATGATACATTAGAACACTACACAAATTACAAGCCATCAGATCTAAAGAACACAGTTCTTGCACTCCATGGTTTAAGATCAAGTGACATTAGTTCCCCTTTGAATGCTATAAGATCAAAGTATAACCAAGATAAGGTAAGCTAATCAGTAATCACAGACCCTTTTTTTTTATAACTTTTTTTAACCATTAATCTCTAAAGATGTGAGTTTTATATTTGGCTTTTGTGTTTTCAGTTCAAATGTGTTGCAAGTTTGCCTTCTCCTCAAGTACCTGAAACACTACTTTAACATACAAGAAGGTATTCTCACTCTAGATTATGCCTATTTACCATATATGTTTCGGCTTGTGTTTTGTTGTTTGAGAATTGTTAATAATATTTTTGAAATTAGAGTTGGGAAATGAGGTTTTTGGTTCTTTAAAAACCTTTTTGTAATGGTTATACTTGTGGGATGTGAGGTTGTGTAGTCATTTATAGCTTCAAGATTTGAGTTTGTAAGTTGGCAAGAAAGGGAAAAAGTTGTAAAAAGCTGATATAAAGTTTAACTCAAGGAGGCTCTACTGGCTTATCCCATGTTCATATATCCATTGCAATTTTATCTGTTCTTAATGCCAATTTGATATCTTTTCTTTCTTTTATTTTGTTCTATAATTGTATATCGTGTTATGAAAGAAGTAAATCATTCCCAAAGATAAACAAAGTTAGTAGTATATTATTGAATAATCAATCAATGAGCTTGCTATTACAACGAAATCATACATAATGAATAGGAGAATTTCAAATAAAAGATGCTAGCATTTCATCGAACACTTGATGAGCAACATAAACACATAAATAAATAAATAATAAACATCAAACCTTACTCCACATTCTCAGATTTGACCTTCTCACACTCCTCCAGTTCACTCAACCACAAATCCCCAAACTCGCAATCTTTCCAGGCCTCAAACCATGGCCCTCCTAGAGTGTAATGTATTGCTTTTGGGTATGTATTCGGGTCATCCTTCTCTACCCGATTATGACCCACAAGAAAATTCCAAACAAAAGGAACAGAACCGATTTCGTCATCCTCCAACCATTGAAACCTATGTAGAAACGCACCTGATTCTTTGTTGACGATCTCCGGCGTCAAAACCTTGTTTTTTGGGTGACCACAATTATACAACACCATTGAAGACCAATTCTTTCGTGGGTAAAGAGTCTGCACTGCACCATCCATTTTCGTGGTTTCTTTTGGGGTGTAATCGTGTTGGACGCACATCACAGCGTACTTTTCATCTACCAGATCAAACAAGTCCTTGATGTCGCCAAGGTAGAGGAAATCACAGTCCACGAACATGGCCCAACCTTCATATCCAGCCAAAAATGGAGTCAGGAATCGCGTAAATGAGAACTCGGTGCTTTCGAGCTTCCCACGTTCACGCCAAAAGTATTTTTTCTCTCGCAATTCAGATTGCTTGATGGGGATGATCTCAACGGGGATCGAAGATCGCTTGAGGATCGAGTACCGACAAACCTCGTACGCCACATCTTCTTTTGGATCGTAACCGACGTAGATCCTGCACGGTTTCTTGGAATAGCCATTGCTCGAAACAGAATCACCATTAACGTCGATGGTTTTTACAGATTCCACCGACATTGCAATCGAAATATCAGTCCTGAAAACATGGAAGCAAATTGAATCAACATGAAATCTAAAGTATACTTACAAGAACAGCAAATTTCTATTATTCAAATTAAAAAAAAAACGAAATAGGTAATATAAATACGGGACAAAATCGAGGGAAAATAATATTTTGAGAGTGTATACCTGATTGTAGATCTAGATTGACGGAAGGAAGTTGAAGGACCAAGAAACGCGTCAAAGATACAAGTGTATTTATTATTTTCATTTTTGACATAAATCACCTACAAACCTCCAATTATAACTATATTACAATCAGGCCCTTATGTGTGAATGTGAAGGCAACCTCATCATGGGTGTTCATCATTGGTTGAAAGTAAACAGATGAAGAAAAAAGCGTCGCCAGTGGTTATAAGAGAGGATACTTTGTTGGAGGTTTTGCGGCTACGAGAGATTATACCAGGGGCGGAACACGACAGTTAAAACAAGGGGGCCGAAATAAAAAAAAAGTTATTATAAACAAGTTATATTTTTGTTCAAATTTAAGAGTTAAGACATTAAAAATATAAAAAGGTAATTATTATGATATATTCTTTCATCATTAGTCAAAATACAAGTTAATCTCTTCAATATTTGAAGTTGATTGTTTTCTTATTATATATATATATATATATATATATATATATATATATATATATATATATATATTGGTAGGGTAATTTGGACATTCTAAGAATTTGAGGTAAAAATGTTATAATTGGGTGGATTTTATAAAGTGGGATTGACTAATCAATATCGTAAATGTAAGTACACTGCTATCATATGAAAAAAAAAAATACATGTCTATTATCGATAAAAATAAATCTAAGTAGGTTGCTATTATGAGTAAGCAACTGAAAGTAAGTTTCTATTATATGTAAATAAACTCTAACAAGCATTAATAACATTAACGGAGAATCACCATTAATGACATTAAAGACTTTATTTAAAAGTTAATGTTAAATCAATTGTTATTAAAGACTATTTAAAAGTTAATGTTAAATCAATTGTTTTTAGGTTTTCTTTGAACTTCATGAACGAAGCTTTTGTAAGCTTTTATGCTATGTTGTATAACTTTGCAATCATATATAATATGTAAACAATTAACTAACTTCAGAAAATTAGACAAAAATATGTTAGCCGGTTAACAAAATCGAACTCCACCATCTGATGTGTATTAATAACGCATTTGAACCTATTAAACTAATCAGGTCTTTGTTGCTAGATATGAACCGGATTTATGACAAAGCAACACATGGATAGCAAGTGATGAGCAAAAAAGATAAATAAATGCTACATGTATTCATACCAGGTTTACTTTGAACGAAAGAAAACTAAGTTGCATAAAATGACATATAAGAAACATAACAGTGTGATCTTTCAGTTATAACTTTTTGAAAAATAAGTTCTATATCGATGGGTGTAAATTGATGTTCCATGCTTTTGATGGGTTTTGAGCATTACAACATTCATATGGTGCACATGTAACCTAATTGCTTTGGATCTAGGTTTTTCTCAAGTTATACATGCATAATAATTTTCCAAAGCAAAACCCTAATCTAGCATACATATTTTCGAAATCAATAACTAAACCAAGGTTAGAAGAATACCTTTTCCTTGTTGATTGGTTGATCTTGACCTTCAAGAGCTTAGTGCCTCAATTGTTGCACCTCTAATGGAGTCACAAACACCACAAACAAAAGATGAACAAGAGAGATAGATGATGCAGGCTTATTGAAATCGGCTAGGGTTCTCTTAGAAAGCATAGGGGTCGAATTCTGTAAGCCATGGGATCTATTTATACTTGTGGCTGCTAGGGTTTTAGGTGGAAACCCTAATTTAACTGTTTAAGCCTTAAGCAGCCCATGGACACCTTCTAGAATACTCCTTGGACTAATTCTCTATGGGCTTCCCATAGATTTCGTCCAACCTTATTCCAAGGTGATCCATCAACCCAAGTGCAACTATCAGTGATTTGCAATATCAGTCCCCGTTCTTTTTATCCGCGTCTTTTGATCACTAAATTAATTCCAAATTAATTTCTGATCAATACTAATTAAATAATATGATTTCTTAAATAATATATTATTCTTATAATATATTAATAAATCATTTATCAACCTCTTTCTGATAATTCATCCTGTCAAGTGCTATGGTGAAGGGAACCCAAAAGGACCATGCTACTATCGGGTCAAGTACATGCCAATTATAGTTATGGGCTTAGACACCTAATCCAACAGTCTCCCACTTGGATAAGTCTAATAACTATAACTGCAAGTATGACTTCAAAATCCGATTAGCAATCGTAGCTCTCAAAAGCCGCTGTCGAACTCTGACCTAGTCAATGACGCGTCCTTTATATAAGAGATCATATAATCCTCCGTTCTGCAAGATATCGTGTGGACAAAGACATGGAATAGAGTCATACTCAATGTCCAACAGTTTGTTTCCTGAGTTCTGATTTGTTTGACATAGAACTTAATTGAACACATCAATTCAGTCCTGACCGGGCCTGACACATAAGTCAACACAAAATCATCGAGGGGCCCAAGATATCGCTTTTACCCTCTTAGGATAAAAGGAACAGATAAAATTTGACTTATATGCTTGTACTATTTACTCATCAAATTGTACACAACAACACGTTTTATAACATCAAGTTACTGATGCGTTTACGCATTATCAATGCACAACCGAGTTGTAAACAACAAATCACATATTTCGGTATAAAGATTATACGATATTATTGTATCTTAATCACTCGTGATAAATTCCATGAAGTGATTCAAACAAGCGTGAGTTTAATCTAATACTCAAATCTTATTTCAGAAGTACTCATGAACGTTGCAACAAACTTTTTCTATGTCTAAGCACTTAGACAATCTACAAACCAATTCATGACAGTCTAACCTCATAACTTACTCCTAAAGTATGATTGACTGTGGATAATTTGAATAATATAATTATTTTGGAAGTAAAACATGCAAAAGTGAAACAATAGTAAACAATTGACACAAGATAATAAACTTTACTCATAAATAAAACTCCTTTATTTAATCATCAAATGTCAATTACATTTATCTATTACATGTTTCTATCTAATCACTAAAACTAATATCATCCTTCAGACCAATGCTCCTCACATGTTGTAAGTGTTTAACCCTGCTCAGACCCTTTGTGAGGGGATCTGTTGGGTTCTCCTCTGACGATACCCTCTTGACTACGAGGAGTCCCTCTTTTACCCGATGTCTGATGAAGTGGTATTTTCTGTCGATGTGTTTGGATCTACCATGATCCCTTGGTTCCTTGGTTAAGGCAACTGCTCATTCGTTATCACAGAAAATCTCTATAGACTCCTTTATGGCTGGTACAGCTCCAAGGTCTCCCATGAAGTTCTTCAACCATATTGCCTCATTTGACGCTTCGCTCGCTGCTATGTACTCTGATTCGCACGTTGAATCAGCCACGGTCTCCTGCTTGGAACTTTTCCAAGTAATTGCTCCTCCATTTAGGGTAAATACCCAACCCGACTGAGAGCGGAAGTTATCTCTGTCGGTCTGAAAGTTGGCGTCACTGTACCTTGTCACTCTCAAGTCATCACTCCCACCAAGTGTAAGGACCCAGTCCTTAGTCCTTCACAGGTACTTAAGAATGTTATTAACTGTAGTACAATGAGCTCTACCCGGGTTCCCTTGATAGCGACTAACCATGCTCAATACAAAAGCCACATCAGGGCGAGTACATGTCATAGCGTACATGATCGAGCCAACGGTGAAAGCATATGACACTCGACTCATTTCTGCTATCTTGGCATCAGTACTCGGACTTTGAGTCTTTCTCAGCTTGGTATTGATTTGGATTGGCAGTTCCCATTTCTTGGAATTCTTCATGTTAAAACGTTTCAGTACCTTGTCCAAGTAAGTACTTTGACTAAGTCCTATTAGTCTCCTACTTCTGTTTCTCAATATCCTTATCCCCGGAATATAAGCAACTTTCCCTAGATCCTTCATAGCGAAGCACTTCCCAAGCCTGGACTTAACCTCCTGCAAGGTCGGGATGTCGTTTCCTATGAGTAGTATATTATCAACATACAAAACTAGAAAACTAACTATACTCCCATTAGCCTTGACATACACACAGGACTCATACTCGCTTCTCGAAAATCCAAACTCTTTGACTTTCTCATCGAAACAAAGATTCCATCTGCGAGACGCTTGTTTTAATCCATAAATGGATTTCTCAAGCTTGCACACTCTATTGGGGTATTTAACATCTAAAAAACCTTCTGGTTGACACATGTAAACATCTTCAACCAGCTTCTCGTTAAGGAAAGCGGTTTTGACATCCATCTGCCAAATTTCATAATCATGAAACGCAGCGATAGCATAACCCTGATAGACTTGATCTTGGCTACTGGTGAGAAGGTCTCATCATAGTCAACCCCCGGGGTTTGAGTAAAGCCCTTCGCAACCAATTGTGCCTTGAACGTATGCACTTTCCCATCCATGTCAGTCTTCTTCTTGAAGATCCACTTGCACCCGACTGTCTTACGACCCGATACATTGTCAACCAAGTTCCAAACTTGATTGTCATACATGGACTGAATCTGGCTGTCCGTCGCCTCTTTCCATTTTGCAGACTCCGGGCCCACCATGGCTTCCTTGTAGTTGTTAGGTTCATCTAAATTTATTAGTGTACTATCACTGATAAACGTATCACCTTCAGCCGTTATATGGAAACCATACAACACAGGTGGAACACTAACTCTAATGGAACATCTTAGAGGTAAGGATTCGTCAACTGGTTCAACATGAATCTCTTCCTCAAGTTGAGCGCTAGTGTTAGAGGTTCCTTCATCGCTTAAATCTTGAAGCTCTTCAAGAACAATCTGCCTCCCACTGTCCTCTTGGCATATTAGTCTCTCTCTCTCTCTCTCTCTCTCTCTCTCTCTCTCTCGGAAAACCCCTCTCCTTGCTACGAAGACCACGTTGTCACTAGGTCTGTAGAAAGGATATCCAAAGGATTTCTGCTGGTAGCCGATGAAAATACACCGCTCACTGCGAGGTTCAAGCTTGTCGTGGGTCTCTCGTCTTACGAAAGCCTCACAACCCCAAACCTTGATATGTGCCAACGAGGGAACCTTCCCTGTCCACATCTCGTGAGGTGTTTTGGCAACCTTCTTAGTTGGGACTAGATTAAGGATATGGGCGGCAGTCTCTAAGGCATACCCCCAGAATGAGATAGGTAATGAAGCTCGACTCATCATGGAACGAACCATGTCCAACAAGGTTCGATTGCGCCTCTCAGCTACACCATTGAGTTGCGGTG